GTCACCTACCAGCAGGAGATAAGTGAGGTGGTAGTTGGAGGATAGTTGCTGAAGCGTTTGTATGATGAATTGGTCACCTTCAGAGGGACTCGAAGGGCTACGGTAGACCACCCCGAGAAGGAGAGAGTCGGACCCGCGCAGCGGGATTTGGACCCACAGTGCATCGCAAAAGGGTGCATGGATGGTGTCAGAGAGGACGATCGGGATTGGATTCACAGAGTGATACACAGGATCAAGGCTTTTGCCCAAGTTTCTCTGACCAGTTTTGTTCTTTTCGTTCGGCGGTTGTCAATCACCTGAAAGGTACAAGTGAAGAGGAGGGTGTAGCACTGCTCTTTAAGTTCTCAGCGCGGGGCAGTATTCTTGCCAGCGAAAGGACTCGCATAAACAAGTGTCCAGTAGTGAATTGAACTGGGTTCCAGAAGGAGCGTGGACAACCGTTGGAAAAAACTTTTCTGACATACCAAATACTCCATATGGGGAAATTTTTTGCTTGAGTAACATTGTTCCCGCCGTTTGTTTGCTGGGTCAATGTAGAGAAACCGGTTGGCCAAGCCTTGTTCAAACAGGACAGAGTTAAGAATTAGGTTCCCTCGAAGGTGTCGATACTCCAGGGGAAAGATATTGAGCACCGCGGGACGCGTTTCGTAGTCCACGGGTCTAAGGCTGGCAACCATTTCCGTAGCAGGTCCTCGGACATGCTCAACGAAGGTTGTGTCTTTCTTGGTTCCTAAGTAGAAAACTTGGGGACGTACTCAAAAAGTGGTCTGATATAGGTCCCGTGGAGTATTTGGAAGTCAATCCGTAAATAAGGAAACCGTCTTGCAGTGCTCGTTTGTAGTCCTTTAGTATTCAAAGAACGTTCAGGAAAGCTCAAAAGAACGCTTGTTATTGTTCAACTTTCAAAAACCATGTGCACATAGTTTGCACCAGTGCAGAAATTTCTGCATCATATCCGCCTCCGCGTAAGGAAATTTTCGCAGTGTCCGCAGATTTCTACACTCTGGTTTGAACCCAATGCGGAAATGAAACAAGTTTCCGTACGTACCTTGCACTCGGGTGAGTAAAAGCCGTACTCAGCACCGGAATTTCTGCACCTCGTTAAAGTTAGTTAGTTAGTTAGTTAAAGTAATCCGACGCGCGAATTAAGCCTATCGTGGGCATTTATTTCCTTCTCTACTACAATTCACAAGCTTCATAATCACCATGCTCCCCTACCGTGATGACCCATCTACCCTCACACCTATCCTCAGCATGTTACCTTCCAGGATATTAACAAGTGTTTCAAGTACATATTTTTATGTGAATGAAGTAAAAAAATTTGCAGGGAATCATTTATCATTCTTGTTCACCCGTTTCCGAACTTTTTGATGTTCGTTTCCTAGCCAGCGATAAACAATTCATTTGATCGCAAACTAATCAGTTGTCGCATCTCTAGGGAAAAATATAGTTTTTGAAGCTCATTCTGCCATTTTTGAAGTACCAAGGTATAAAATAACCATCAAGTGCTTACAAATAAGTCCTTTGGTCAGCCTGATTGATCTGAAGGTCCTCTTTTATTTATTCCGCGTCAGTTAAGTAGTACGGCGAGTTTTGGTGCAAACTTTCGCACTCGGGTGAGTAAAAGCCGTACTCAGCACCGGAATTTCTGCACCTCGTTCGCGCTTAGTTAAAGTAATCCGACGCGCGAATTAAGCCTATCATGGGCATTTATTTCCTTCTCTACTACAATTCACAAGCTTCATAATCACCATGCTCCCGTACCGCGATGACCCATCTACCCTCACACCTATCCTCAGCATGTTACCTTCCAGGATATTAACAAGTGTTTCAAGTACATATTTTTATGTGAATGAAGTAAAAAAATTTGCAGGGAATCATTTATCATTCTTGTTCACCCGTTTCCGAACTTTTTGATGTTCGTTTCCTAGCCAGCGATAAACAATTCATTTGATCGCAAACTAATCAGTTGTCGCATCTCTAGGGAAAAATATAGTTTTTGAAGCTCATTCTGCCATTTTTGAAGTACCAAGGTATAAAATAACCATCAAGTGCTTACAAATAAGTCCTTTGGTCAGCCTGATTGATCTGAAGGTCCTCTTTTATTTATTCCGCGTCAGTTAAGTAGTACGGCGAGTTTTGGTGCAAACGTTTGTGAAAGTATACTTACTAAATACAGTCGTACATCGACAAATTCTTTCAAGAGCCCTCTTTCCACTTTTTTAAAAGTACTCATCGTGACTACGACAAATACCAGATGTGCATACCGCGGATCGTCTCTGAGGTGTTTTTCGTACATTCATGGGTGGTAGGAGGTAGAAAGGGCTCATTGAGATCCTGGAAACTACTTTTAAGTGCTAAAGCGTTCATTTTCATATACACTCTCTGGAGCGACGAGCAAATCCGCTCCAATTTCTTTATAACAGTTAAAAAGTGGTAATTTACTCACTTAGGATCTGGTTGGCCGGTTCTTGGGCAGTTACATTGTCCTTGAATTTTGGAGCATTCGTTTTATAAAGTTGAGTATGTAGTTTGTGAAATAACCTGAGACTCGGCGTCGAACTTGTTGGTTCTAGACCACCAAGGACGGGAAGTGTTTTGTATTTGGAATTTCTGATAGAATTCAGATGGCCATAAAGGGATGAAACGTACGTTCTGCATATCATCGGGGCATCGCCCTTGACAGATTGCAAGTCAGAAATGAGAATGACACCCATTTTTGAGGCCATTGGCTTGATATCTCTGTGTAGCCACCACCACCTGATGTACTCTCCTAAATGGCTTTGTTCTCGAAGAACCTCTACGCGCAAAACGGACGAATTTTGGGTGCAATGACGATCACCTGAAATGAAAAAATATCGTTTACAATTTTCGTACGCGAAAAGAGACCAGGCATAAGGAACATAGAAGTACAACGGAACCCACTTTATCAGCCACGCGTGAAGACAATCAGGAGCTTCCCACGAATAATGGTGCTGCACACGAAAACAAAACCGCTTAAGTCGGCCGAAAGTTTACGCTACGTAGGGACATGAAATTGCGAGACAAATAAAGAAGCTTTGTTATTGCTTAAGGGTCGCAATCACATCCGGGTTGAGAGTTCTCCTTTACTGCAGAAGTTCCGTACAAAGTCCGCACAGGTTCTGCGCTCATGCGCGGGCGCGAGATAACTGGAAATATGATATGTTTACTTTTGCGTCTGATGGCTTATAAACCTTCAGTTCATGTTTACTAATAAACAACTTCGCAGTAAAGAAAAATCATCCTTTCAATGATAGCCTGTGTTGATTCATTGATCGTGTCACTGGCGCTCTGTTCTTCGGGGCCGACCATTTGATCATCTGGTATCCGTTCTCTTTACCGTAAAAATGGACGAAAATTTGGCTGGCCCGAGGTTGTAAACGAAGTTTCCGTCACCTTTCTTGTGAATGAAAATTCTCAACCCCTCTTTAGTCGCCCTGAAGTGTAAGTTATTGATAGCTTCATGCAGTCTGTAGAAAAGCAACAGCAGCATAGCTATACGTATGGTCCTGCTGATAAGCTGGCGTCCTATCTTTTCGGCCCCTCAAATGTTTCGTGATAGCAGTATCCGATATTTCTGGGCACGGAAGGTTGAGGAATGATCAAAGCTCCACTGGATTCGTAATCTTCAGCAAGATCTTAAAAAATGGAAACATATTTCACTGCTGACCTTGTGTGTGAGAACTGAACTGTGGTAATTAAGTTTCGTACGTATATCGGTACAACCCGACAAACTAGAAATCCAGAATTCAACGAAGAGTGGCAACCAGCACGTATGTATTCGAATTGGCGAATATGTACAGCATATGGAATATTAAAACAAGAGAATAAGGAATAGAGCAATGAATAGAGCATCAGTCATGTTCATCACATGAACCTACCTTTTTTTTCGAAAATACCGACTACCCATCAGGGAGGGACTTACCCTGAACAGAGCCAGAGTGGGTCTGAAAATTGTAATGGGCGCTTCTTGCCAGTCCCGATTCATAGACCTTGTTACGCCGAAACCTGATGGCAGCTCGCACTTTAGCTCCGTACTGCGTGCATCCTTGTGGCCACCACTAGGTGAAAATGATCAAGGCTATCCTCTTTCCGTTGTAACACGCTTCCATCTCGTTGCCCCTTGAAGAGCGATATCATTAATTACGAGCATATCGGAGCTGAACTCTTCCAGCATTTAGAATGAGATTGCACTGAAGATTTTACACCGGTACTAGTGACTGCCAGCCGCATTGATTGGAAAGCGTACAACAAACATCTGGAGCTCTAAAGTAACCCACACTCCACCAAAATAGAGCAGCCTAGATATATCGAAGGTGACCTTTTTCAGCATCGCTGATCCATGCATTAAGCTCACTTCATCATTCTACTGAGAAGCTGAACTTGCGCGCATGGAAGTGTTCCTTGGAGTCGCATACACCATATGGCCTCGCTAAAGCGACCAGCATCCCACCGTGCTTTCAGTATTGCTGAGACATCTTCTGGGCTACCTCACGTGATGGCCATTTTTGGGTGGAGCACGGCCCCATTTCTATGCTGACGATACAGCGAATAGCATTTCGTTCGATTTTTCCAATATAAAAAGCAAAAGTTATCAATATGCAATCAAACAAAAGGAACAAGAGGATAGCCAGTTGCGGATCCGGAAACCTAGTCAAGCACTCGGCTAAGCTCGGACATCAAGAAGCAGATGAAGGAAATCCGAACCACGGTTTAACACAATAATTCTTTCTATGATATACAGGTGGGTTCTAGTCTCAGGTATGCTACAGCCAGAGAAAACGGGAGAAAAAAATATTCACAGCCTTGTATGGCTCCGATATTATGAGTGTTTCATTTTACACTTGTGTGAATACCGAAATACAGGTCAATAAAGAACGCCGTCGGAAATGCATTAGGTAAGCTCCATTTCCTTAGTGAATTTGACTGAGATGGAGATATCAAATCACCCTGACAGTGATATTGTCCATCTTGAAGCTTGTGAGCTTAATCTCTAGGGTACGGACTGAATCGATCGCTCACGTCTTCCAAAATTTCCAACTTTTGCATATCAATGTCGACAGGGGAAAGTAGAGTTTCACTCGTGCTAATGGAGAAGGGCGTTCTGGATACCAAAACCGAGCTAATGTAGTTGTCCCCGGAA